TTATTTTCTTCTTTTTCAAAGGAGCAACAGAGTCTAATTTTATTCGCAGCGCATCTGTAGCACTATCAACAACATGATGAATTTGGGGTGGTGTACATTTTGTATAAGTTTCCTCCCTTACATGCAGACATGCTATCGAGTTAAGTATTGGTGGAATCTCTTCCTTAAATTTGGCTATAGCACTAACAGATAGGTTTCTGCTGCAGGAGCTTTTGACTAATGCTTTGTAGTATTTGTAGTCTTCATATCTCAACCAAGTTTCAGTGAGACAGCATATATCAATATTATAATCTGATATTAAATCATTTACCAATATTGCTTTAGATGCTAGAGATCTTATGTTTAAGAGACCACATTTAATATTCCTGTTTTGTTGCACTGTAGTAGTTGTTACATTAACTTTTATTAGGTTATTATGTATGACACCTCTATTAGGTTTTACCTTCAATTGTCCTTGGGCAGACACACACACCGCTAATATTGGGTATTTTATTGGGTTCGGGATTCCTATGGATGACTGCCTAGGAGAGAGCGCAGAGAAGCGTGTAAGACTGCTCCTCCATGCTGACGTGCGGTGGTTGAGTCGCGGCAAAGTCCTGCAGCGTTTTTTTTACTTGCTACCGGAGATTAAAACGTTTCTGTCGACAAGGAATGAGGAGCACAAGGAACTCTCAGATGACGCGTGGCTAGACCTTCTGACCTAACGGCGAAACTGAACGCACTCAACAATGAGCTCCAGGGAAAAGACTGACACCTGCATCACATGATAAGCGCAGTGAATGCGTTTAAGGCCAAGCTTGGTGTCTGGACTTCACATCTGGGGAACAGGAGGCTGCATCACTTTCCCAACCTGGAGAAAATGTCACAGGCCATTGAAGAAAAGGATTCTTTTCACCCTGAGCAGTTCTGTTCTCACCTGGACAAAGTGGCCAACGAGTTCAGCCGGCGTTTCGGTGAGTTACATTTGATGGAAGATATTGCTGCTTTCATTTCAAATCCATTCCAGCCCATTGACATTGAACAGGTGGCAGATAAATTCCAAGAGCTGTTTACTTTGCCAAGTGGAGTTGACATGGAGATGATCGATTTGCAAAATGAGATAGAGCTGAAATGCAGGTCAAGGGAGAGTGGCTTTTGGGGACTTGTCAGCAGAGAGAAGTTTCTGCTTCTCACAGCATGTGCACTAATGGCGCATTTCCACTACAGCGCGGAGCTCGCTTTAAGCGTGCCGTGCCCGTTTTTGGTTGCGTTTCCACTAGGCGTAGTACCGGCTAGCGGGTACTATTTCACAATTTTTCTGGCCCCATAAAATCGAGGTTCTTAGCGGGCCAACAACCAGGCTGAGTCGGGCTGAGTATGCAAAACTAGAGAGAGAATCGCTGGCAAAGGGGCTACAACTACAACAAAATGAACATATTTGACCGTGATTTAATTGTAATACACGTTTCTAAATGATGCCGAAGTAACAACATACTGATACCGGTTAGTAAAAACCATGAATTAATGCTTTGACAAGTCTGCAGACAGACGGCAGGCGAAAAACCTTTTAAAATGCGTGTTTTCTGAATGGAGCTTGGCTAAGCTAACGCAGTATATGCTCCGACCGTCCACACTCACAACAACGGCCTACAGACATAAATAAACCAGCGACTGTATTCGCCATGACACAGGCAGTCTGTGGTTTGTACTTGTTTAACTTTTGTCTAGTTTCTGAACAGATATGAGGAGCTCTGAGTGCTAAGAGCTAACGGCTGTGTTGTTTTTCTGTGGTTCGCGTTGAAGATGACATCACGGCTCCGCCTACACTGCGTTACTATAGTTCAGGGGTGCCCAACCAGTCGATCGCGATCGACCGGTCGATCGCGGGGAGATTCCCAGTCGATCGCGAGATGTGTCTAAAAATAGAACAACAATATTCTGTTTTATCGTTAATGTCCTATATCATAATCTTCCTGTGCCAGAATAATGCACTTGAACGCATCAAAGCTTTCTGATTGGCCGGCGTGACCCCATGTGTCGGGGCGCGGCTGGTGGGCAGTGGGCAGTACTGTGCACTAGTTCGCTTCGCTAACGTTGTCCGTGTCAACAGGAGTTACAGTCCGCACACACACAAGACCGCAATTATGGCAGAAGCAAAACATATATAATTTTCACTCCGAGTGGGAGGATGATTATTTCTGTATCTATTCCAATTCAAAGTCCATCTGTCTCATCTGCAATGCGAGCGTGGCTTTATCGAAGAAGGGTAATTTAGGAGCGGCATTTCAAAACAGTGCACAAACGCTACGAGACTGAATTCCCTCCTAATTCTGCCCTATGCTCCAAAAGGGGAGGGGCCTGAAAGGACAGCTAAATGCACAGCAGTCCATTTTCACCAGGCCCAACAACAAGAGCAAGGCTGCTACCATAGCATCTTATCGTGTCAGGCACGTTCTTGCGAAACACATGAAGTCTTTCAAAGACGGCGAAGTTGTGAAAGAAGCATTCCTGGAGGCTGCCGATGCGTAATGAAAATAACAGTAGCATTTCAACAGGTTTTTGATATGATAAAAACTCAAGTTAGATACCGTTATTAATCAGCTGTAAGTTTGAGTTTGTTTGAACTTATTCATTATAATTATTGTACAAAATGGTATAAGAATGCAAACTTAAATTGATTATAGTCTATTATCAATTCAGGTTAAGAAACTAGTGTTGCTTGCATCCTATTTTAAAGGCATTTATTTTTATAATCTACTAAAATGCAACAAAAAAAGGGTTTGATTCTATTAATGTTGTCTTTTTTATTGCACTTTGGCAGCAGATTCCTGTGTAGCTTCAGATCTGAGTTGTCTTATTAGTAAGCCTCATTTATACTTTTGTAGCAACACTATTTTTATATAATGGCAAAGAAAGGGTTCAGAGTCTTTCCTTTTTTCCTGTGTCATATGTGGCAGCACTGTTCAATGTTTCTTGAAAACATTACCCACTGTAGTATGTGACGTGTGAATAAACTCCAACTCTGTATCAACAACACTGTTGTGTAACTTCAGTTAAATACTTGTATGTGTGTAGATTAGAAAGAGATAAGATAAAGGATCTGCAGTATTTTATGAAGTATCAATCATACAAAGGTCAGTTTTATACAAGTAGAAGTGTGTATTTACCTGGTAGTAGGCTGTCAGTAATGGCTACGCCTCTCTATTTGGACTGGTAGATCTCGGCAGACTGGTAACTTTAAAAGTAGCTCTCGGTTCAAAAAAGGTTGGGCACCCCTGGTATAGTTACTGCCCCAGCTACTAAACTGTAATGAAAACACAACATAAAGTGAGCCAGTCCCTGTAGTGGAAATGCGCCATAAAAGTGAGCGCCTACTTTGGATCCACTTACCTCTGTGAAATGCCTTTTTCACAGATGAAAGTAATCAAGTCAAAGTACAGGAGCCGCCTTACTGACAGACACCTGACAGACTGCCTCACACTGGCTGTCTGTAGCTATGAGCCAGACTAGAAAGCCCTCACAGACAGCGTTCAGTCGCAGCCCTTTGGCATTGTGAAAAGGGATGCTGCATATTTTGGAACTCACTGCACTTAGCTCTATGCACGGATAAAGAATGTTGTTGTTAAGAATTGTGTTAAAATAACTAGTTTTAATGCTAATGTTAAGCCTTACAGTTAAAATGGCACTTTATGTTATCTGCTCACTGCAAGATGTATTTTTTTTCTTTGTTGTTGTTGCTGTCAAAACATAATTGACTAATTCACTCAAACAAATGGAAAATAAGCTACTTACATTTATATTTAAGATTGTAATGAAGGAATGAATGAATGAAACTTAAAATGATAGGTATGATGTGGTTTAAAAATATATATATTGTCAGTTATGTTGTGTTCTTGGTTGAATCAAATTGAAAGTTGCACCCAATGATTTTATGTAATTCAGATGCAATTAGCCTATATAAAAGACCTCAAATTGGAAGTACTGTCTGTGCTTCCTTTTTCACTCAATTCTGCAATAGTAGATCTCGCCTTTCACCAAGGCTGAGGTCGGGGATCTTGGGCTCAAAAAGGATGGTGGCCACTGGTGTATAAGGTCCAATCATACAGTATATACACAGTTAAAGAAGATAACTGAAAGAAAAGGACCACAAGGACGAAAACAACTGCGAAAATAAAATGGAATATTTGCAGTGTTGGGATGTAAAGTGGAAAGCTTTGCAGATATTTACTGGGCACAATTATAGATTTATGTCAGTGTTGACTGTAAAACGGTATGTTCTGAACAAGCCTGCCAAAGGTGTGAAACAAAGCCAAATACCTTCATTTTATTTAAAAAATGTATTTACTTTTTTATCAAGAAATGTGACATTTTCTAATACAGGTGCTTATCTTATGATGAAGAGCAATTGAGACATTATCTTATTTTCAGAATTACTTTTTACCAGCCTGTGATATCTCCTCCCACTCGGCAGCTGTAACATTCCTGTACACAGTACAAGGTCCCAGGCATAATTACCTGCATTAAGCAGCTCTGTAGAGTCTCTCCACACACACCTGCACCACCATCCAGATGTTCCTAACAACCATTTCCCTGCAGAACTAATAATTACGCTCCCTATAGCTTAGCTCTTCAGATATTCACCATCCCTGCCACTGGGATACAGTCAGAGCTCTAAATACCTTCCAGTGCATTGTTGCCATTTCACAGGTCTAATCCCCAATCCACTGACCTGTCGACACATGTACCGCCACGCAGACACACACGCACCCACATGAGGTTCAACGGGATCGTAATAACAATATTCACAGCTTAATCTCAGGGTGCACAGGCTAGGACATGCTACACAATATAAACAAAGAGCTGAACCCACTGTACCTGGACAATTGTGTGTGTGTGTGTGTGTGTGTGTGTGTGTGTGTGTGTGTCTTAAAAGGCTGTGTCAACACTAAATAATGGAACAATGATTGCTCTCATCCAGTGCTGTCTTTAATTACAGCACACAGAAAACAACATGGTGTTACCTCTGAGTCTGACCTACTGTCTGAGGGAGGAGAGAGGGAGACAGCAGAGCTTTTTCTCCTGGAAATGTTGTTTCTTTGTCCGTGATGTGACGCAGTTGCCAGAGATAAGACCTGAAGATAAGTGAGACAGAGAAGGTGAGGGGAACCTGAGCGGCTCTCAGAAGACAAACAAGACGGGACACACAATACGCTCCTTCTCCTGCCCTTCACATCACCCCTCAGGGATTAATACGGTATCTTTTTTGATTAATGGACATTGCATCAGATACATTGATCTGCTGTGCAAAGAATAAAGGTGACACCGGTTTGATTTAGCTCCAAATGCCGAGAGAGACACTTTATTTCCCCAGCTCTGCCACAGGCTCTTACATTGACATAGTGCAACTCTTTGTTCAGTAACATTTCATTTAGATCAATTAGGCAAAGTTTTTACCTATTAATCTTGGATTTCAACCCATATTTCATTTTTGAGGGGGGATACTATTTAACATTTCTAGAAGAGATGACTGCCTTCAGGCGCAGAGATGAGGTGCATGTAAAGTTGTTCTGCTTCCTTCATGCTCTTAAAGATCACAGCACAAGTTCCAGTCAGATTATGAAACTTCACTGACTTAAGGGTGCGGGGGGGATGTGCTCCCTTCAGCAGAAGTTTGAAGTCAAAACGTATTAACATGTAATATGTGTTAACCGGTCAAAAATGTAAATACAAACAATAATCTGTCATTGATCACAAGTTTCAAATACTCATATGTACTTGTATTTTGAGGAGAGAGAGAGACATATGTGTGCTGTAATAAAGAAATACATACTGTTCAGAGGGTTTTTTACTTGATTATAACTTGATTTCTGAATGATTGGCCTACTGGAGAATGTTGGAGTTGAAACATGGTAGTGGGATTACATTGGGTTTATTGTTAATGCGTTTTCCAGTTTAGCTTTAACTTGATCATTAACGCGTTGACAGTAGTAGAAAAAAAAGCTTCATCACACATTATCTTATTTATGATTAATATAAGACTAAAATTGCCCAATCGTCTTCTTCGATCTTTCTGTTCTCTCCTGGGAAGAGTTGATCATTCAAGGGAATTATTTCTCTCTGTGTGTTTTCAGTAGTTGCCCCTCTCACACTGTGAGCAGCGTTTCTGCTACAACCTGCTACAAAGACCAGATAGGCTGCTCTGAAGCTAGGGTGCAGCGTTGGAGCTAACGTGCTAATGTTGAGAAGGTATAACAACACATATAGAATACGAGAAATATGCGATAAGACTAATTCTTGTCAGATCAAGTCTAAAAATGGTCTTTTGCAAAACTAAGATACAAGGAAACAGACATGTAACACAACATTACAATCACTGAAGACAATATGTTCAAGACTCTTTAACTTACATTTGACGTGATGCCTAACTCTGTATTTCATTTGAGGATTGACAGAAGCACAAAAAAGTGCTTCAGTCAAACAATTAAATTGTGGGACCCTGTATCACCGAGAATATTCAAAGATATCCGAAGACCAGCAGCTTGATCAACGGCTCCGAAAGTGTCTGAAGCACAAACTACCTCCAAAGACCCTGCCCCTGTTTGGCAGCCCTACCATCAGTACATTTGTGTGGGTTTGTGTGTGAATGTGTGTGTGGGTTTTTAGTTTTATTTAGCTTTTATGTTTATTTGTATAGTTACATTACAATTTGGTGTAAATACTTGTCTTTAGCTAAATTGTTTCTTGAAAATCCTTGAATCATTTTTCCTACTTTGCAACTTCTTTTTTTAGATTGTTTATGTTCGCACCACCAGATACCAAAGCAAATTCCTTGCATGTGTTAACGTACCTGGCAATAAACTTGATTCTGAATGGGTCAATGTTGGCCTACCTGTGTTAAAGCGCTTTGAGTGGTTAGAACACTTCTAAGCACCAGACGTACAACTGTGGCTGTGCTTTGTGTTTGGAGCAGGGTGTGTTTTGGGCAGACGATGGGAACACCTCTCTGCTTTATCTATGACTTCACAAAGCGCCGAAACAGAAAGCCTTTCAGCAGAAACAAGAGAAATACAGTAATGTGTGTCTGAACTCTGTTTCTGAGCAACGATTTAAACTGGAGACCATCTTTCTAAGGGATCAAACGGCCGTGACGGCAAATCAAGCCCCCCTCCAAAACCCTCATTAGACCACACCCATCATCAAACCAGTTTGGATCTCAACAACACACCTGTAACGTGTTGTGATACAAAATCCGGCCCTGGGCGTGAAGATGGAGCTTTAATCATGTGGGGTTAATGGCCTCTCTCTCAAGATGAAAACAATACCAGCGTCACTGTAGTGGATGTTAAATGCTGTTGGCTCATAATAACAGTATTTGTTTTTAATAATGACGGCATTTCGTTGCTCCTGGACCCACTAATGGCGCTTTTCCACTGCAGCACGGCTTTTTTTTGCTTTTCCAAAGCTTTTTACTTTTTCACCTTTTTTCTGGCCCACCAAAATCGAGGTTCTTAGCGGGCCAACAACCGGGCTGAGTATGCTAAACTAGTGACGCAAACACTCTCGGCTGCTGAATGCTCAGAGAGAATCGCTGGCAAGGGGGCTACAACTACAACAAGATGAACATATTTGACCGTGATTTAATTGTAATACACGTTTCAAAATGATGCCGAAGTAACAACACACTGATACCGGTTAGTAACAACCATGAATTAATGCTTTGACAAGTCTGCAGACAGACGGCAAGCGAAAAACCTTTTAAAATGCGTGTTTTCTAAATGGAGATCGGCTAAGCTAACGCAGTATATGCTCCGACCGTCCACACTCACAACAACGGCCTATACAGACATAAATAAAGCAGCAACTGTATTCGCCATGACACAGGCAGTCTGTTTGTACTTGTTTAACTTTTGTCTAGTTTCTGAACAGATATGAGGAGCTGTGAGCTCTGAGTGCTAACAGCTAACAGCTGATGTTGGTTTTGTGGTTCGCATTGAAGATGATGTCACAGCAGTTTTACGCAGCGTCGCTCCACCCGCCAACCAGCCCATCGCCCCGCCTTCACTGCGTTACTATAGTTACTATCCCAGTTGGTAAACTGTAATAGAAACGCAGCATAAAGTGAGCCTGGCCTACCAAGGCCTAACCATACTAAGCCGTGCTAGGTCTTGCAGTGGAAAGAATTAAGCAAACAAATTAAACAAAATGCCTCTTGAGGGCATGAAGTGACAACATCTTTCAACATGTCTCCATTAAGACCCATTGTAAATTCAGCCTGATCTTTCGTCAGAGCAGCAGCTGCACACCTTTAGTAAATCTGCCAAAAATGCCATAATATTGACCCGAAAGTGCACAAACAGCTCAGACGCTCGTCAGGGTCCTGAGACATTTTACCGATATTAGCTACCGTTTTTAAACTATAGTTAGAAAAGAGGTTTATCTCTCATTCAGATCAATGGAAAGGCTCTCCTCTCACAGATCACTGCACATCACCATGGAAACTTTGCATTTGAGCTATAACAATTTTGATTCAAATCATTTCACTTTTCTGCATTTCTCCGCTAAGTTCAGCAACAAATGTTCACAGTTTACAGCATTCGCACGCATTTTCAGCCGGAAATGCATGTTCTAGTTTGTCTTTAAAGGTAGGGTAGGTAAGAATGGAGAAACCAGCTCAAGTGCGCTAGAATTTGAAAGTACGCAGCCGAAAAAAATCTGTCCCTTCCTTCTGACTTCCTTACAGAGCCCCTCCTCCAACACACACGAACGCGCACATGACCAATGAGGGCACGAGATAAGTTTGTGCCCAGATGGAAGGCTGACAGGCAGGTAGGCCATCCAGTTATTTTAGCCGGGCCGGCTCAGATGATTGGTCGTGCTTTTTACAGTACCACGGCTTCCACAGATGATATTTTTTTATGGATTTTTTGTCAAAGCATTTAATATATTCATTGCTATCGGGATGTTAAGAGCATTCCATGGAATATAACACAAAGTGTTTCTGAAGTGAATTACCTACCCCACCTTTAAATGTTTGTTACTGGAGCATGTATAGTTATGTAACAGGGTTATATAATCAGGATACAAAAGAAAGGTAACTGTATTCCTTTATAGTTACATAAAAGAAGATGAAATCAGATAACGAGTAAATGCAACAGAGCTCATTATTAAAGTAACTCTCCCAACACTGTTCCTGCCATTATTATTCCCTCCCACAGCATCTGCTGACAACTGATCCAGACTGGCTGATCCAGGGCAGTGTGACCCAGGCAACACTGGAGGAGAGCCAGGATGAGAGCCAGGAGATGTTCCAGGTTATAGCCTGCTCCCTGCTGAGGTCTGGGGGGCAGGAGCCTGTGGGGCCACCTTGCTGAGACCCGGCCTCCTCACAGCATCCTGAACCTCTATCTTCTCTGAGTAGCAGAACGACCTGATGTGGAATTTGTTGAACAGCATGGCCAAATATAAAATGCACCTTTTTCAGTTTACATTTCTCCTGATGCTAACACAAAGCAGGCACTCCTTTACATCCACATGTTGTTGTGCAACCCAGTGTTATAGAATGACATTACATTCACTTCTGACCTGAATGAAAATCAAAGGCAAAATATTCTCTTGTGTGTTGAATTAATATAATATCTTATTAAGGATCAGTAGGTTTTGCTTCTATTTGGTGATGCATGATTTAACTGTGAGCTCAGTACATGCACTGCTTTATGGCACAAATAGCAACTTGGAAAATCTTTCATTTATTCAGAATATGTCAAAGCTTGAAAACACTAAATGTCTGTGAACTATACACCATCACTTTGCGTTGCAATGAGTCTGTGTCTATTATATCTTACCTATTTTAAACCAATGTTTAGACTGATTTAATAAATGTGTTGGACCATTTAGTAGTTAGGCTGAGAATAGTTTTTCATAGTTTTTAGGGTATTGGGTTAGGGCAATGTGTTTTTGACACAATTCTAGATGTGTTAGTAATATATATGGTAATACTTTCTGTATAGTGTCTGGTCCTCTATTCTCAAGCTTCAAACTTGTAAATAAATGAAAGGGATGTTGTTGTGTAAAGTTACAGAAGCTGCTGAAACAATGGCAGGCCTTGGTTCTCCAAACTCAGGGCAAACAGCAA